CAATTTTCCTTAAGGTGGGAGTGCTGCAATGACCTTAGAACCTCTAATCGCCTCCTCCTTTCCCTTACCACACGATCTATCCCATGTTACCGTCACACATACAACCCACTCGTCAATTCTTATTCAATTTCTACTTGAGCGGTGGCCTGCATTGAGCGCCATATCATTCGATGGACTCCTCAACGTATCTCCAATCCATCTATCTCCATTTTACTCCTACATATGCTTCTGTTGAGCAATTGGTTCTCGCCTGTTGATTTGTTTCCAGCCAGCCAAGCAGACAGTCAGAGTTTTTTGGTGTTAATTTTTTCTGACTTCTTGGATAGCCGACTAGCTTTTCGATCATCAGTATGGAGCGAGCCAGAGGAGAGGGCTGCTGTTGATAAAAGTCTGAAATAGTTTGTTGGGAATCCTTTTTGCGAAATGCTGGTCAAGTTTCTGACCCATATAGAAGAAGTAACTGACTGACTGACTGACTTTACACTTGTGCTGAAAATTCAAATCTTGTTGTTTATGCTGCTGACCGAAGAAGATTTTCACGATGATTTCAGATTGACGTAGTCGTATCTAGCCTCTTCGATTCTGATTGGCTGCCTTTGACATCTTCATCCGTTCCGTTGAAACCGTGCTTCCTAGACAGATAAGTGAAGGAAGTAACTTCTGTCGAACCTCTCCCGTTGATGGTGCTGGTTGTTGTCACTGCTGCTGGCAACCCCGTCTCCACGTTCCCTATGTTCACCTGAAATCCTGTCTTCACTGGGTGCTTTTTCAGCCAGTCTGTTGGTTTTCGCCTGAATTTCTTCCAGTTTGTATGACACTAGACATAAATCACCTACGTGCAAAGTCTCGATCTTGTAGATAGAGTCTTCTTATCTCTAGTCAAGTGTATTCCTGTCTTCCTTTTTCTCAAGCACAATCTGACGCATAATCCAGTTCACCACAACTAAGCATATCATCGATGAGAGTAGGCAGACAGACCTGTCTTACTCCTGTAATAACTAAAAAGGCTTCAGGGAGCTTTAAGTTGTGAATAACCTGGCCCGTGGTATTTTCATATAGCTAGCTGTTGAATAAGGTTGATAAACAATTGAGTATTTCATGCCGTAGTGTTGAAGTGGTTTCCAAATTACTTCTAAGTCAACGTTGTTTATTGAAGGCTATTCAGGAGTTGCTCAAGTTAAGGTAGAGGTTTGACTGCCATTCTTTGCTTTGTTCTTTGATGACAATGCAAAGAGTATATTATTATTGGTAGTTTCCCCTTAGGCCTTAAGCAGTTCTCTCTACAGTCATCCCCATAAACTCTCATCTCTTGACACAATCTCCTCCACATTACCCTTGAAGTAACGCTCAACTTGCCGTTCTCCATATGGATTCAACTCTAGCGTCTGACTGCAGTATGATATCACTCGGTGGTCTCCTTAGCATGTATCCACTCTATCTGTGATTCCTTCGACTTGCTAAACTGTGAAGTTCCTTGGTGCTGACACTTTCTGGTCGTTCATTTCATCTTTAATATGGAAAGCAAAGTGGGATAGTTGTTGACGAAAATCTGCTGGAGGTAATTAGAAATGTCTTTGTTGACACACTCACCAAGTGTTTGAACCACGTAGAAGCACTGATTTACTTGACAGCAGTGCTGAATATCTGATTCTTGTTCAGTAAACTGCCCACACTATATTTTTATGGCAATAAAGGACTCTCTTGCTTTTCGGACATAGACTATCTATGACACCTCTTCCGATGCTGTCCAGATAAGTAGAAGAGATGAATTTCTGTAGGTTTCTCGCGTCGATAGTGAGTGGTGAATCTGACTGTCGGTTGTTTAAGATCTTAATCCTCACCTAAAATCCTGTTTTCTCTGCTTCTTCTTCTTCTGCCAATCGGTCAGTTTTTGCCTTTAGCTCTTCATATTCGTGCGACATTAAATACAAGTCATAAACGAAATAATGATCGCCTTGAATTTCGTTGTAAATTTCCTGTATGCCTATCTTCTTTTGCCCTACAGCCATCCCGGATGATTTAGTCCACAGCACACTTAACGTGCGCAAATATAATTCGCAGATATATGGTTTATTTTTCTGAGAAGCAATCACAATAATGACAATAATGTACATACAAATCTATAAATACCTCTTGGTTTTCTCGATTAACGGTCTGTTGCCCGGCTCTTGTCTTCTGTCACTACATTAGTAGTTCTTTTCAAAGAACAGAACATTTGAGGAACGCTTCTATAAGAAATAGAAACCCTTGTTCCTCAATATGGATTTAAAATAAGCGATAAATGTTAATAAAGCAGGATTTAATGAATTCAACGAATATAAGTAGAACTCTTCAACTGCTGAATACTCTACATACATACACGGATATAAATTCTATTGGAAGTACATTGGGGTATATAAGACTGATAAGTGAACAAGAAAATACATTTCGCTGTTTAAGGGACTCTACTCGTACCCATGCAGTCAGCCAGGTGAGGGCTCACGGCGAGTTGTCATCTGAAGTGGTGACAACTAGTGGTGTCCGTCAGGAGTGCCAATTATCCCCATTTCTATTCAACTTCATCATAGATGTACTGATGAACTTAACCCTAACTCACTTCAGAGACTCAGGAATTGAGTTGCTAACAGGGAATTATCTCGTCGACTTAGAATATGCAGACGATATAGTTCTTCTAGGCGAGGACGCTGACAAAAAGCATTCTTCTCAACACCTTGAGCTGCAATCTACAAATGTTTGGCATGCGAATCGCTCCCGCAAAATGTAAGATGATGTTACAAGACTGGACCACACTGACTCCTAGATTAGAAATAGGAAGTGAAGTGGTAGAGCACGTTGACCGCCTCACTTATTTGGGAAGTACTATCAGCCAACAAGAACGGGTTGATCTCTGACGAAATCTCAGCTGAGAACGGATACAGAGGGCTAGTTTCGCATATGCCAGTTTACGCCGACTCTGGCTTAGTAGACGTGATATCCGACTGGCTATCAACCAAAGGGCGGGTGTACTGCTCAAAGTACTGCACAAAGTTCACTCCGTCTTCCTTTATCACTGTGAGTGAGACCTGGCCATTGAGAGTGGAAGACATGAAAAGATTAGCTGTCTTCGATCATAGGTGCCTGCGTTCTATCTCCCGTGTGAAGTGGTATAATAAGGTGAGCAATATTTAGATTAGGCATCGGTCGAGTGCTAGGTAGATGGGAGGGGAAATCAATGGACGAAGTTGTGAAGTTACATCGACTGAGATGGTTAGGACATGTGCTACGCACGTATGCTTAGTCATCGCCTTCCTTGACGAGCATTGTTAGCTGACTGATATGGGGTCAGGCTGGAAAAGAGCTAGCGGTGGTCAAATCAAAACATGGCTTCATCAGTCAATGAAATCTACGACAGTTAGTTTGAGACATTTTGGAAGGTGTAGACTTCCTGGTTGGGGTCCTCGGGACGGTTAAAACCAATTGTGTGAAACTATTAGTGACATGGCTCAAAGTGATCGTTCTCAATGGCTAGCGCAGATGGATCCACAACTTGTGACTTATAATACCCAATGAAACTATTTTGTTCTTCGTTATTACTATTCCTTTGTCTCACACCTCTGTTTACTGTCTGTTTCTACTATGCATTTCTTCTACTTTCTTCTCTTGGTTTGTGTGCTACATGGAGGGAATGTGACGACTTGAACTTTTGCACATCGGTGCAAAGTCCTATGTCGAAAACAGACAGACATTCATGCAAAACGAAATGCATGAATGTTTTCACGTCATGTTGAAATAGGTATTGGGAAGGGAGTATGAGAGAATAAAATTAAGATAAAAAGCATTACGCTTCAACTACATCACTTAAATAAACAAATAATTTTGAGTAAGGGAAAGCAATTAAATGTATCAAGAACCGAGAACTAAGTTACATTAACAGTAAATGAGTTAAGATAATGCTACTGATAAAAGATAGTTTTTAATGAATCAGGAATAATAATAATAATGAGGTAGAATAAAGTGCCAATAATATTAATAACAAAAACAGTTAATAAGTAAAACATATATAACCATGGTTTGATTCAGAGTGACCGCCATTCCTCTTTGTAGAAAGAGGCCTGGCTCATAAGCTGTCATTACACAAGCCATCTGAGCAATTGCAAGCATCTTCCTGTTTCTTTGTTTACTGACAGTAGTGAATGACTTAACACAGTCCACAAGATGTTTTGTTATTGAGCTTTTGGTATTTTAAATTCATTTGTTTTCAACCATTTTAGCAAATGCTCCATCATGCGAATAGATAATCACATTTCTTTACGAACTATGCGTATTTGCTTCCACAAACACACTCAAATTGGTAAACGTGGATTGAAGGGTCGAGGATTGGAAACTGGTCTTTCTCAGAATGTTGTAGCACTCGCTTAGTGGTGGCGTTAAGGATAACAAGTTTTTTGCAGCATAATAAGTTAGTTCTCTTGACGGCTTTATCGAGTCTTCGTTTGACTACTTCCTGTACGTCATCTCCGTTGAACGGCAAACCGATATAGACAGGTTTCTTCGGAACTGTTTGGATTGTTTTGCAGGGGCTAATTTATTGAAATTATTTATTAATGAACTTCTCAGGATATCCATCCTTAGATAAAATATCCTTCAGAGATTTTATTTCATCCTCAGTTTTACCGGCGGAACAAATTTTCCTTGCTCTATTGAACGGTATTCTGACTAAGTATTTTTTAGACTACATTGGAACAAAACATTTCAAATTTATGTACTGTCCTGTCCATGAAGACTTTCTTCTAATAGTATAAATATATATATATATCCTTATATGTATGTAGAGTATTCAGCTGAAGAGCTCTACCAAGATTCGACTGATTCATGAAATCCTGTTTTATTAAGCTTTGTTGCCTGTTTTAAATTTAAGAATGCATCAAAACGGGGAACATGAACCGACCAACCAACCAATAAAAATTCAACAGAAGTGATTAACACGCATAAAAAACATGAATAAGATCACACACACACACCTTTATATCATTCTTTCCATTATTATTATTGTATGTTATATAACCAGCATTTTCTACTAAAATCACTAAATCAGTAATAATATCTTTGGTACGAATATTTAACACTAAAGAGTAGTCATTTCGTGCGACTGTTCCGTAGAATGTCTATTGAATACGACAGAAAATAAGTGAAAAAGAAAAACTTTGTGGTTAGAGATGAACACAAAACTTAAAACGTTTGTCAGCAAACCTTTTCCATTACCTATTCAATTGGTGGTATATTCTGTTATTACTTCTGCTTCAGATTAGACCACGAATTGATATCAGCTAGAGAAGCATTGAAAACCAGCATTAGAGTACTGCCAGGCAGCTGAATGTTTCGTCCTAGTTTGGGACTCATCGGCGGTGCGCACCCACCACCACGTTACAAGACAAGCTCGTAGACTATTCAGCCATTGTAACTTGACTCAGTGGCTAGCCTATGAATTCTAGCTTCTACCAATTCGTAATGCATTTAACCCGACCACCAACCCAGTGGGCACCTACTGTTGATGAGTTCCAAACTCTAGGACGAAACAGCTTTCCAGTACTTCAGTTCTGGTTTCCAGTGGTTCTCTAACGGAAATCACTTCATGGTCTCGCTTGAAATAAATAGATTATCTACAAACTAATTCCCCAATATTCGCTCTGCATCAGCAATGACCCTACTTTTTATCTATACCAATCACCCGTAGGAGTCTCTTAAGTCAAAATCAGTCTACTGGCATAGACCACTATCCCGGAGATAGTGCTGCTAGGTACCGAGGCTACCGGTGATTGTGAAATCTGAATATTTCTTTAGCGCAGTGCGCTAAGCTACTAACCACCACGGGACTATAACCTGCAAATAATAATGCTGGCAGTGAGTGATGACTTATTCCACTGAAATATCACTGGGAGTTTTGTACACACACTTGTCACTAAAAATAATATTTTAAAGGAATTATCAGGACTAAAAAGGTGGATTCCTGAGTCACTAGCAGTAACCATATGAGAAATCCTTAAAATGTTTGCATCAATTACGACAAACCGCATCCTAGTCATCCCGTTAGCTAACTAATACGACAACAGACGATCTTCTTTGCTCCTGAAATCACGTAATGTACTTCAGTAGCGATCACGCATGTTGTTCGGGGTTTGATCCTCGCCTACCGATGAATTCCTTTATTTCGTTAAGCCAATAATAGGACTGGTAGTGAGGAAAGCTTGAACATGATCCTAGCAACCCCGTCCATTAAAAATAAACACCACTGCTGCGGAAACTTCAAAGCTTTCGCTTGAAGCTCTCTCCACTGCACTGCGAACGTAAAATAATAAAAATAAATCACTTAGTGGACATCATCCCTTCAGTTTAAACCAACTTTTCTAAAATTCTACTGATGAGCTGAAAAAATCAAGACGAGTGACCTAAAATACACAGAGACATTTTGTAACTATTTCGGTCACTTTCATAATTAGATAAAGTCATTTAATATATGTATGACATTTTAGAAAAACCATTTATGGTAATAAACTTACTAGCTGACTGAATGTTTCACGCATTCCAAATATGTAAGCATAATCTTTCACAGATTTAAATTTCAATCGGATGCTTTCATGAGCACCAATATTAAATTGTGTTTTATATGCTAAAAATCCACCATACTTGTTGGAAAATTGTGAAAATGAAGAAGGAGAAAGGTTACAATGAATGTTAGTTTCTTAAAGGTTAAGTTAAGGAAGATTTAATATAAATGTTGGCTATTTATATATAGTCGTGTTTTATTGTGAATACATCACTATGAGGTAAACACTGATCCTTCACAGACTCATAGTGTCCTCTGATGTCACAGTATCATGCACACTTCAGTTGGTCCAAAACTAGCAAAAGAAACCATGCGACAACCACTCTATAGCGATGAGAACACAAAAACGCAATGATCAACTTGGACGGAAGTCACTGAATTATGTCTAACAACATATGTCCAATTCAACAATCAAATATTATTATTATTGTTTCTTTTAATTCCTTAAGGAACATAGGAAGGGCTTCAGCGAAACAGCTTCATTGCTTTCAGCTCCACATCTACCCACTTGCTTTCATTTCCTCTTCACATCACCTCCTCCATGTCACCCTCGAACGACCAACTCGCCGCTTCTCACTCTGCTTCCACTCGAGCGATAGCCTGGCATGTGATGTCACTCACTTGATCGTTTTCTCAGAGTATGGTCAGCCAATCTAACCCCATTTCTTCCTGCAGATTTGTTAAACAATTGGTCTCTACTGGGTTTGTTAGTTCATTGCCATAGATCTCTCAATATTGCTGATGTTTTCTGGCCGTCCATCTGATCTTGAGTGAAGTAATGATTGAACACAGCTGTTGATGAAGTTCTGCAGTTTGTTCGAATATATGAACAAATAAAAGGAACACCAATGGGATCGCCCATATCGGGAAAATCAGCTGAAGCAGTTATGCAAAGATTAAAACGAATAGCCCTCCCTACCCATAATTAAACCAAACCTCTGGGTACGTCACGTTGATGATACATTTGTAATAATTAAAAGACGTGTTTTCGAATACACACACCTACAAATTATTGAACACCATATTTGAAGACTTCAAATACACCACGTGAGAAGAAGAATTAAACAACAAAATTCCATTCTTACATGTCTAACTTAATCAAGAAAACTAACACAGGAAATTCAGAAACACAAGTGTATAAAAAATCAACACACACACTTCAGATACACAACTATAACACTAATAACTCGATTACCCACAAAAGAACCTGTGTGTAGACATTATTTTAAAAGAGTCCGAACACTCTGTAGCACTACTTCGGTGTTGAAGTGAATGGAGAAAAAATATCCACTAATCGTCTCTTCAAAAAGAATGGATATCCTCACAGTTTCATCAAAAAGAGTAAAAATTCGAGTGAGAACGCCAAAAACAAGCCAACATCAAAGATCAAAAGAAAATCCATCCTACAATATATAAGAAGTATCTCTGAAATAGCAGCTAGAATATGAAAACAGTTTGACTGGGTGGGTGTCTCCTTCGATTTTTAATCCAAGAACAAAAATTGGCTATAAAAACGGATGATAAATATTCTTTCGTGCCAGTGCATGTAGATACTTATGGACATCAATTTGATGATTGGAATAATATAGAAACTTCAAATAGAGGAAACACCAAAAATGCAGTCAGGAATTCCTAAAAGCCTAATACTCAAATTAATCAGCCAGCGATTAACAAACACATTACTATTGAATTCAATTTTTGATTTTCCCGTCGATTGATTGGACCGAAGTGCTCGGTCTCAGGTTGACATGTCGGCTTCTTGTGCAGATGCTTCGACGATGTCCGGGCATTTAGTTAGTATACAATTGGTGGATGGTGGCTAGCAGTGGAACATCGTCGAAGCATCTGCACAAGAAGCCGACATGTCAACCTGAGACCGAGCACTTCGGTCCAAACAATCGACGGGAAAATCAAAAATTCAATTCAATAATTAATATGACCCGTCGCACAAGAGGTGGCTCTCGTGGCCCAAGTGGTCTAGTGCATAACGCTTTGGCGTTTGAAACTATGGGTACTGGGTTCGAGCCTTGGTGGGAACGTCATCACTCACTAAGAAATGCAGGTACATCGAGCTGACGAGCCCCAAATAGGACGAAATGCGTATCCTGGATTCCACTGCTGGCCACCATCCATTACTTGTATACTAAACACAATACTACTCTAGACCGAATTTACCAGCTAATAAATGGTACTTCACACACTACATAACAAGAAAGTTTGAATTCCAAGCCAATTAAAATGATCAAAATGGATGTATATTAACAACCAGTTACTACAGTGGTTACCACGAGATACAATTACATCATTCATAGAGAATCCAGATAAGTCCATTTTATACTAAAACCTGCACTGAAGAGGGATTTCGTCTAGAAGCCGGATTACAAAAGCTTCACTGTGCGTCGGTGGCACAGTGGTTAGGACTCTAGCCGACTATGCACATAGTCTGAGGTTCAATCCCCCACCGACGCACACCTGATAGCTATGGTCGGCCTGCAAAATTCGGGCTACCGATATCCATGCTGAAAATTTCATACTTGTACGAAAAATACAGTGTGGAATCAAGCTGTAATCAAAGATAAAAATAAAATAAAACCAGCTCCTCAGAGAACACAACTGATTCAATAGCTTCATAGACTAAGCAGTTGTAAACAAAGTTGTCAAGAGAAACCAGTTATACTGTTCGTAGAGAGTTCAGTTAAATTCAACTCATAACGAAGTGTGTATTGGAGACGCTAGGTTTAGAAAGACAGTAAAATATTTACTTACGATTAAGGCAAATGACCCAGAAAACACAACCTCATAAAATAAATGATGTACACGAATTGAATCCAAAGATTTTATCGTGTGATGGAATTATTGTCTGATGCACTCATAAGCCACATATACCCGGTAGCAAGCCTGGAAAAAGGAAAGCTTGGGTTTGAGGCTAACAACGCCATCCCATCACTGCTACTCGAAATCTACGACCTTAAAGCCTGAAGCCTTATGTTCCCTTCAGAACCCAAGAAATGAAAACTAAAAGCATCATCCAATGATCTTGTTGATCTTTTTCCAGTGTTATCGATTTGTTAGCTTTATTAAACGTGTAGTTAGTCGAGAAAAGAATCATTGATATACAAATAGAACTTTTGCATTGTGATAGAATATATAACTCTATTAAGAGTGAAGTTTATTTTGATGACGTCTCACAGTGTAATACACTAATAGTTACTTATAACTACGTTTCAAGCCCAATGTATGACTGCTCGTAATCATATAAAGTTATTCACACAACTTTCTAACTTCGTTTACGCAGTTTTATTCTTTTTCATCTTTTTGTTTGTAAGAACTTGGGAATACTGGACAGCTGGCTATTTCGTTCTAGTTTAAGACTGTTCACCAGTAATAACCCACAACCAGGATTCGAAATCAAGATCTTCTGGTTATGAGGCGAGCTAGCTCTTAGACCATTATGCCACTGGAACCTGACCCGATCCAATGGCTAGCCAATGAATTCCAACTTCTGCCAGTTCATCAAATAACACGACCACTAGTCAATGTCTGCAGTAAATGTTTGTGTTCACGTCCGACGTGCTGTATCCCACTGCCTGTGATGACTTCCCACTATAACCTCAGGTACCTGTCTACCCGAATAGAGCCAGCCGCTAGTGAGCATTTCATTGGTATTCAAGTATTGGTTTGTAGTGAATTGATTGATTAGTTATAGGTTTTCATCTTAAGCGGACATTGATTTGCTTACTTGACTGGACAAAATAATATAATTTACAAAATACCTTGAAATGACTGTGAATGAGGTCAACCACATAGATCGGACTAATAGATCTTTGGTAGTCAAATTGTCGGAACACAGGAATTCAGTTAAGGCAAGAAGGGTTGACCACACCTTCACAACCACCCAATAGGGTGAGAGACGGTTTAAATTCTAAAAAGTAATAACGGTAGGTGGAGAGGGAGGTTAATTATTGTATCTTCATTCATAGAATCGAAACCCAAAACGCGCATAAGGAAACACTTATCACTCATTTCAGAAATATGGAAAATACCAATGCTAATCAAACAAGCGATGGAAAATAATGGAATAATATAAACGAAGTTAGAAAGTTGTGTGAATAGTGCCTTGATATGATTATGAGCAGTAATAAATTGTGCTCAAAACATGGTCATCAGTAAATATCAATCAACGAGGCTGTGAAGCTACATCGACTGAGATGGTTATGACATGTGTTACGCACGTATGCCCAGTCATCGCCTTCCTTGACAACAGGAAATGTTAGGTGACATAAGGTCAGGCTGGAAAAGAGCTAGCGGAGGTCAAACTAAAACATGACACCAGTCAATGAAATCCACAACAGTTAGTTTGAACCAGCCATCCATGTAGGAAGATGTAGACTTCCTGGCTGGTTGGGGTCCTCGGGACGGTAAAAACCAATGGTTGGAAACAATCGGTGATATGGCTCGAAACCGTTCTCAATGGCTAGCGCAGATGGATCCACAACTTGTGACTTATAATACCCAATGAAACTAAATTGTTCTTCGTTATTACTATTCCTTTATCTCACACCTCTGTTTCCTGTCTGTTTCTACTATACATTTCTTCTAATTTCTTCTGTTTCTTTGTGTGCTACATGGAAGGGAGTGTGGCAACTTGAACTTCTGCACATCGGTGCAAAGTTCTATATCAAAAACAGACAGACAGACAGATGGAGCTCCCACTGATGACATGGGTTGGTGCCATTCGCGCTAAATGCATTACAAATTAGTAAAATTTAGAATTCATGCGCTGGCCATTGAGTTAGGTCCCAGAGGCTGAATGTTATACCAGCTAGCTGTCTTTGTGACCAGAAGGTAATAGGTTCGAACCCTGGTGACGGTGGGTGCGTACTGCAGATGAAATAGCTCTCCAGTAATCTCTCGTTGGATTTCAATGGTTCTCTAGCTGATATCAATCCGTGTTCAAACTCGTATTATGTTAATTTTTGTAAACTTCATTTACGCTTACTCATATCTAGACTGTTGTTCGGTTGGTTGGTTATGTCATAGAGTTAGGCTACCTAGAAATCCATTTTGACCATTCATTTA